CCTTTTTTTTTTTTTTTTTTTTGGCCTCAATGCCGTGGAGGTTTCTGTGGGAAGGACAACACTCAGTTATTTGCTTATGTCTTCAGAAGGCAGACTGTAAGGATAGGGGCCTCCACAAGCAAGGAGAAACTTCTATAGGACACAAGGAAGAACGTTTTCAGTTTCTGGGGTGATTATTTAGTCTTGGAATGGGTGCTCTTGTGCCACCGACCCTGGAACTATTAGAGAAGCTGTCTGTTCTCCTGCTCTGAGTGGTTCAGATATCCACCTGCTCAGTGCCCACTAGGTGCCTCCTGGGCCCCCACACCAGGTTTGTGACATCTGTTACTTGGTAGCCCTCTGGGGAAGGGTGGGTGAGGTCTGAAAGGTGTACTCCCCAGACTCCCTGGGCCAGTCTTCTCCTTTCTGTCCCCTCACATTCACTTCAGTGTGTGTTTACACCCAGTCAGTTTGGCATGTCATGACATCATCTGATCCTGCTATTCCAGCCCTGTCATGCACAAATGGACTTAGAAAGAAGTTGGGCGGGGCTAGTGGAAACTACTCAAAAAGGCCTTCTTGGTGATTCAGGAGACCTCAAGAGCCATTTAGTTAAACCTCCTACAGAAATAGCTTCCTATAATGCAACAGGTGCTTTACATACATTCTTTTGAATTTGCACAACCTTGGAGGTAGGGTTTCACAAGTGTGGAGTTAGAGACTGAGACAAGTTATTTGCCAGTGAAAGAGTGCCTGCTAAGTCTGCATGGCAGTAAAATCTGTGCTCTTTCCTTTAGAGCATGCAGATGTGAAAACTACAGAGAAGTGGAGCCTTCCACCCAAAGCCAAACATACCAACCTGGGACTGGAATTCTGTGTCCTATTTTTCAAGGAATCTTCCCAAGACACACGTCCTCTTCTGACATTTAATGTGGGAGGCCAAGGATGTGGCCCGGCTCAGGCCAGCCTTAGTCACCTAACTGAGTAGACAGGCTCTGGACAAATTCTTCCCACAGGCCACTTTCTCTGCTCTCCAAACTCTCATTCTAACCAATGTCATGAAAAGCCCGCTTCTAGAAGGGCCAGGCAGGACAAAGGGTTGGGCTAGTCTGATTCTGAAGGAGCCATTCTGGGGCCAGGGTGGAGGTGGCGAGGTGTAATTGAAATACTCTGACCTGAGATCAAATTCTGAGTTCTGGTTCAGGTTGGGACCCAGCAGGGACCTATGGCGAGTTACTTAAAACTGAGTTTGCTCATCTGCAAAACGGGGCATGTGTCAACTGCACTTGAAGCACCGCGGACGCAAAGGCAGTTATTACGCACCAAAATAATACCATTTGATCTTAGTATCAGGTCCTATTGAGACGCCCGAGGGGCCCAGAGAGACCAGGCCTAGAGTGGGCGGGGCTGGGCCGCGAGGGGACTACAACTCCCAGGAGGCACCGGGCCGGCCGGCGCTGGGCGGTGACGTTGCGGGGGCTGGCGCGGGGCGCTGATTCGGTCGAAGCTGCCAGCGGGGTGGCTACGGCCGCGGGTTGTTGCAGCTGCTTAAGCAGCAGTGGCCCCCGCCCCCGGGCACCTCTCGCGGGCCCTCGAGGGCCCTACACCTCCGGCCCCGCAAGGTGAGTCCGAATGGGCGGCCTCGGGGTGGCCGAACCGGGAGGCGCCTGGGGATAGAGGTGGGGCGGGAATGGAGGTGGGAGCTGCAGGGGGGTCGCCCGGGGCTGGAGGGGACAGAGGCCGGGTGAGCGGAGGTGGGGGTGTGCATCGGCCCGAGGGATGCCCAAAGGCGAAAGTGGGGGCCGAGGCCGGGGGTGGAGCGTGGGGAGGAGCGCTAGAGCTCGCGCTTGGGGTGAGGGGCCCGGGGCGGCTGAGCTTCGGGGGTGAAGGTTTGGCCGCTTCCAGGGCTGGGAGAACGCGTGGAGGCGGGGGTGACCTGGCCAGGCTCCGAGCGCGAGGTCCTAGGCTGGGGAGCGGAGCGGGTGGCCCCCCTTTGGTTTGAGGTCCCACTTAGAAAACCCAAACAATAGTGAGGACTCTGCCTCTTCTCTTCGCTTCACCTTCTCGCGGACTAGTGGGGGTTCGCTCTAGTACTCGCCTTCTTTCTATTTCTACCGCCCTCCGGAGTCCAGAGCTAAGAGGGGAGCTACTGTGGCCCTGCGGGTTGAGGGGTGGGCAGAATGAAAATGGCATTGTGGCGTGCTGCCAGGGACTCCCCGTCGGGGTCCAGTTGCAGGCTTGGGTGTTTTGTGCTCCTTTACCCAGAAGGGAAAAGGTTTGTTACTTAAAAGGCTGCTCTGCTTGAGGGAGAGAATGGGAATCTCTCACCTGGCAGCTGCCCTGGGACTACCTGTGGCCTTGGCTTAGGTGTTTGACAGACACGCTGGGCAGGAATATTTGTGTTTGGAGGCAGGGGGAAGGAAAGGGAGTAGTGGGAAACAGCTACCAGCAAGAAAGTAGTTAACAGAACAGAGTTGCTGCAGGCTCTGGTTGAGGCAGGTTATGAAACCACATCAGGGACTGGTACAGGCAGCCACCTGCCAGCTATGGCCTCTGAACTTTTCAGTCTCAGATGTTGTAGATTTTCTTTACTTCTGCCAGCTTCTCCCCACATCTCTCCTTCTGGGCTAGGGACAATTTTGGTTATTTTACTAACGGAAATGAAATGTATGTACCCTTAGTTACACAAAAGGCTTGGAGTACTTCCTGGCTGCCAGTCTGTTTTCTTAGTTTATTGATCTGGTCTATCCTTTTTTGGGGGAAGAGGTCTCCGGGGATTTCTGCTCTCAGGGCAGTTAGTGTCCAGGCTCACGAAGAAGCTTCCCAGGGTGCCAGCTCCTAAGTGTAGCCCCCTCATAGACTCATCTGGCTTCATTGGATGCCCTCTTTCAGCCAGAAAGGAGTGTAGAGTGACCTGGGATTCAGCAAGATCCTTGGCATTCCTGGACAAAATACCAGAGAGGGCTAGGGGTCTCTACTTCTACACCCTGTACGTCTAGGTTAGAAGTGGGGAGAGGCAGCAGCTTCTGGTAGACTGGGGAGCTGTTTCTCCTTAGTCAGTAGTAAGTCCTTCAGAGACCTCAGTTGCTAGCCAGCCCCATCTCTCCCCACCTCCCAAGGTGGAAGCTTTTGCATAGTAGGTTCCCAGGAGCTGTGTTAGGGTAACTGAAGCCCCAAGCCCCTGGGAAGGTGAAAACCCAGCCAGTCCTGGTTTTCTAGTTCCCTGAGTTTCTGTTGGGCCCAATTATCCAGCCTAATGGGCTGAGCTGATGTGCCCCAGGAACATCACTTCTTCTGAGATGCACCCTGGGTCATCTCACATATGTTTGCCTATTGGAGAAGTGTGTTGTGTGTCACATTTCCCCTGAGGTCTCTAAGCTTTGAGCTGTCTGAGAAGAGGAAACTTGTTTCCATTATCCTGGAGCTAAGGAACTAATGCTTGAGAAACCTGGTGCCTACACATGCTCGGCTGTGATCTTAGTCAGAGATAGATAGCAACGGAGTCTGGGGGGCTTCACTGCAGCAGGGTGAGGGAGGTGGCCTTCTGGGCACTTCCAGGATATACTTCCATCTGGGACCCCTTTCTGTGTCTCCAGGAAAGATGGGGCTGTTACCATGGTAATGACCTTAGGGTCTTTATCAGACAGGACCTTCCCTCAGCTCAGGAGATGAACCAATACAAAGGCACCATCTGTTCCCACCTCCTGCTGGTCACAGGGCCCTCAGGGATCTGGCGACAGCAGAGCTCTGGACAAGAGACTGCTCATTTCCTTCCTTACCTGCATCCAGGAGTGCAGCTGAGTTGCACTGTTTCCTGGGCACCAAGGGCAATCCTGGTTTCTGCTACTGCATGCTTCTGCCATCAGAGCTGGGCAAGGGAAGGCAAGGTGCTACGAACACCTGGAAACAGGTGCTGGTGCTGGGAAAAGAGGCTAAAGTGAGCCTCTTTTGGTAGACTTGGGGAACTGTTCCTCTCTCCTTAGTCAGTAGTAAGTCCTTCAGAGCCCTCAGTTCCTAACCAGCCCCATCCCTCCCCACCTCCCAAGGTGGGGGCTTTTGCATAGTAGGTTCCCAGGAGCTGTGTTAGGGTAACTGAAGCCTCAAGCCCCTGGGAAGGTGAAAACACAGCCAGTCCCGGTTTTCTAGTTCCCTGAGTTTCTATTGGGCCCAATTATCCAGCCTAATGGAAAGGGGGCAGGAGAGAGGCTGCAGGTGTGGTTTTGTGACATTGGGAGGGGTATGTTGATGTGGGTTCCAGCTATTGTGGGAGCTGTAGATGTTGGCCATGTTCTCTCTCCTCACCTCTCTGGTGGGGAAAAGGGCCCTGGTGGTTTGGCAGCAGAGTGGGTCACATCACGAGTGTTAGCCTGAGTTGCTGCCAAGTGGATAAAACATCTGGTTGGGTGGTTTTGTGTCACCAAGAAGGAGACTTCCAGGTCTGGGCAAAGGTTGTCCCTAGTCTGCTGTTTTCTCTTTTCTTTTCTCCCTCCCTCTTTCTATCCTGTCAGCCCTCCTGGGTCTGGATTGGTAGACCCAGTACTGGAAAATTAGGGGAGATGGGTAGAAGCAATGACACCTGCCTCCCCCCAGTATTTTATCCAGTGGTCTCCTTGCAGGGCCCACATCCTTTTATTTCTTCTGATGTAGAAGGTGGGGAAAGGGTAGATGTTCCATATCAACCCTCAGTGAGACAGTCCAGCAGGGGTTATGCTGATTGATTTTTTAGGGTACAGGCTTTGTGAGAAGAGGGCCCTTGCGGGAATGCTCTGGATGATGAGACTGAGGGAGGGGTAGTGGTTTCTTTGCTCTGGGGCTGAATGCTTCTTGATGACCTATCCTCCCAGGCAATCTGACTGGAAGGGGACTGTCCCAGTTGGATGATGTATGGTGTTTATCCCAGTATTGGGAAATGAAGAAAGTTCAGTCCACATGGACTTTCTTTGGCCTCCTTGTTTGTGAATCAAAACAGTAGAACTGTCTGGAATTCTTGGGGAGAACAGGATTTGGAGGGTGTGAGGGGGCAGAGAAAGTGGTGTGACCTGTCTCACCTGTGCTGCTTGTTTGCAGAACAGCGGCAGGAGGGGGCAGCAGGATGAACGTGGGCACGGCACACAGTGAAGTGAACCCTAACACACGGGTGATGAACAGCCGCGGCATCTGGCTCTCCTATGTGCTGGCCATCGGGCTTCTCCATGTCGTGCTGCTCAGCATCCCCTTCGTGAGCGTCCCTGTCGTCTGGACCCTCACCAACCTCATCCACAATATGGTGAGGGTCTGCCTGCTGCCCACTCCAATTGTGTGGGCTGAGGAGTAGAAGGAGCCCCCAGACATGGGCCAGAAGTCAGGGTGACATGCTGACAACTTCTGTCACCAGAGTCCAGACCAAGCTCTCTCATCTCTGCCCCACTTCCCCTTCTGGGTTCCAGCCCTGTGCACTCAATGAAAGGACTAAAATCTGCAGATTTCTCCATATCTCCAGGATGAGATAGCTTGTGTACCTGAAAGATGGGCCATTGAGAGCTGAACTAAGGGTCCCAGAGTCCCCAGGACTCAGGCGCCTAGCCTGGTGCAGAAATTCCCCTTCCCCAAATTAGGATCTCAAACCATCTTTGACTCTTGCCTCTCTCTGCTCCCTTACCATCTGCTTGCTACCTTGTACTCTTTTGGTGGACAGGCAGGGGCCTAGTTCCTTCCCACCAGCTTGTCCCCTCCAGGCTGGCACAGGGAGGCTACCGTGGGACTGGAGGGCAGTTCTACGCTACCTCCTTCCATGTGTCTCCTCATGTCAGGCCTGCCCTCTCACCCTTATTCTCTTGCCAGGCTCCCAGCTGCTTCATCCTGACCTCCAGCCCACATGCCCCTGCCCACCAGAGGGAGGCTCCAGATCACCCAGAACCCACTTCTGTGACTAGGGTGGAGGAGCTAAGCTGGAGGGCCTTTTGCCTTTTGTGTCCTCTAATGAAAGCCCCTCCCTCCAGGGCATGTACATCTTCCTACACACGGTGAAGGGGACACCCTTCGAGACCCCGGACCAGGGCAAGGCAAGGTTGCTAACCCACTGGGAGCAGATGGACTACGGGGTTCAGTTCACAGCGTCTCGGAAGTTCTTGACCATCACACCCATTGTGCTGTGAGTGCCCTGGGTAGAGGAGGACTCTAGTAGTCAGGCCAAGGCCTGGGAGACCCTGGGGCCCACCAGGCCTAAACCCCTCGTTAGTTTGGCTCTTAGTATAGGAATGAGGAAAGGAAGGGAAGTTGGAGCATCTCTGGTCATATGTTGGCTCAGGCCTTGCACCTCCCTGGCCCTCTTTCTTTAGTTGGGGCATCCTTCCTGCCAGTGAGGTAGGCCCTCAGGCCTGGGGTAAAGCAGTGGGACTGGGTTGGGAGGGATCTCTCTATCCGGGAGATCTTGCCATCCTATTTCTGTCCTGGGGGCCTTTCCCATAACTTCTCAGCTGTCAGGAATTTGCCTCTCCCCACCCAGGGAGTGAGGGAGGGAGGGGTCCTCCAAACAGAGTCTTATACCTCTCCTTAATTTTCCACCAGGTACTTTCTCACCAGCTTCTATACCAAGTATGACCAGATCCATTTCATCCTCAACACTGTGTCTTTGATGAGTGTGCTCATCCCCAAGTTGCCGCAGCTCCATGGAGTCCGGATTTTTGGAATCAATAAGTACTGAGGGTGTAGCCCCTTTCCCTGCCCAGATGGCAGGAGAGGGGTAGAAGCCTGTGTTGTGTTGCTGAAGACAGAAGGAGCCTCTGGATACTGCCAGAGATGGGGGTTGAGCCTCTGGGCCCTAGTTTCCCCCCTTACTTCCCCCAGTAGCCAACTTGAAGTAGCTTGTAATGGAGTTGGGGTTTCCCCCCACCCACGCCCCCCGGCCTCTAACCCTTCTGATTTTTTTTATCTTTTTCTTTTGCCTTTTGGATAGAGACTCCTGGGGGGTGGTCATGGAATTAGCTGGGCTTCCAGGCTGAACACAGGCCCGTGAGCTTGGGACAAGAGGCAAGGGAAACCCCCTGCTCACTTTCTCATTCTCAGATCGCTAAAGCACTTTAACCCCTGTGAGGGGACGGTACAGCTTCTAGATTGTTTCACTTTAGTTCTGAAGCTCTTAGGATGACTCTCAGTGTGTGCTTGTATTTATGAAAGCCAGTGGGTGATGGTGCCTCATTCCTCTGGGTAGAGCACGTCTAATCAAAGCCTCATGCTTTTGGTGGCTCTCCTATAACCCACCCTGGGTAGTGGGTGGGAGTGGGGAGGGTAAGGAGAGGGATGGTAGAGCTGGGTGTAGATGGCCTGGTCCCAGAGGTGAGGGGGCCAGGATTGCTGCCATGCTGCCTTGTTGGAGGCCGGGAGGGTATAAGAGGGGGTGGGGATGGTGAGTTGAGACTCAGAAAAAGGGGATCACATAGCAGCAGACATTGGTGTGAGGGAAGGAGGGTGGGGACAGAAGCTAGACCCAACCTCACCCTTTGGGAAGTGGTCAGGGAGGGGGCATGCTTGGAGAGTTAATTTACCTACAGCATGGGGGTTGTAATAGGGAGACTGCTGTGAGTTTGAGGCTCCCAGGTTGGTGTGAGGGGGTGGAGATGGGTGTAAGAGGCCTGTGAGTCGTTATAAGCACAGGTCCAGTTTGACACTGCCTTCTGCAGTATTGTGAGGGGCATGGGGAAACTGGGACAGAAATGATGAACGGTGGGGCCCTTCACTTCTCAGCCTCCCTGTGTAGCTGGCACTGGGGCAGGGCCTCTTGTGCGGCATGCACACATGGGGCTTTGAGGCCACCCCCAAGTGAGTCAGTGGGCTGCAGAGTCCTGCCTGGTCCCTGCTGGTGCAGGGCAGTGGAAGGAGCAAGGAGTGGCCTGTAGGCACTGTCTCCTCACCCTGAGAGGAGGAGAGGTTGGGCAGGAGCCCCAGCAGGGCTGGAGAGGAGCTGCCTTCTCCCTCCCCAATCTGACTGGGGCCTGTGTTACTTTTGAAAAGGTGTGGGTGCCCGTGCCCCTTCCCAGGGCCCCGAGGGACAAGGGGACGTCATTGGCTCTGTTTTCTGCCTCTTGGTCCCCTGGCTCCCACCCCATGTATCATAGGGAACTTTCACCTCAAAATCTTTCTAAGCAAAGTGTGAATAGGATTTTTACTCCCTTTGTACAGTATTCTGAGAAGTGCAAATAAAGGACAGTGTGTTCCTGTTTCCCCTTGAGTCTGGCTTCTGCTTCCTGGAGGGCCCTGGGGCGGGGGCAGGGGGCAGGGGTGTGGGAAGCAGCTCCTGCTGAGGGCAGTGTGGAAGCATCAGTTGGACCGTCTGCCTGGATAGTAGAAGGGACCCTGTGACTGCTGCTCTTCCTACTGTCCCAGCAGAGCAAGGAGCTGTGAGGGAACAAAGCAGCCACAGGCGGAGAGCAGAACTCTGTCTGTGACTTTACCTGGCTGTTCTAACCTCAGGACAGAACTTCCACCTCTGGGCTCCACTGGTGGCGCTGGCAGGAAGATGGCTTATGCCATGGCCAGGGAGGAGGTAAGTCCAGCAATTGCTTCATAGATGAAGCTGGAGGTGCCCAATCCGTTCCGCTGAATGCCTTCCCCTGTTCTGACTTCTCTCCCGTCAGTCCTCCTGGCCTATGTGTCTTAGAGGAATCCTCATGCCGCTTTTCCCTGCCGTAAGGATGAGTGGGAGGGGAGAAGGTAACCCTCAGGACTTAACTTAGGCTCACATGGCCAGGGAGGGAGGAGTGCTTTAGCGAAGGAACTTAGCTCTCTGAACTCTTATCTCCAAGCTTCTTAGTATTTCAGTTTGTTCTGAGCAGTAATCATCTGCTATTCCTAGGACAGGTACAAAGTCCTGGGTATAAGGAAGCGGCTCCTCTCTGGCCCTGGCCCAGCATCACAGTGTCCTTGGAGTGGGTGTCGGGAAGAGTACAGGCCCACCTACCGCTGCTACCCCTACTGCCCCTGAGTGAGGCCCACACAGCACTGGGAGGAGAAATGCAGCCACCTGGGCTCAGTCCTAGAGGTGGGGTGTCTGGGAGCTTCTGTAGACCTACAATAGTGCAGTCAGCGCCCAGCTGGTGTGGCTCAATGGTTGAACATCGACCTATGCACCAAGAGATTGCTGGTTCAGTTCCCGGTCAGGGCACATGCCCGTGTTGCAGGCTTAATCCCCAGTGGGGGGTGTGCAGGAGGCAGCCAAATGGTGTTTCTCACACAGATGTTTTAATCTCTCCCTCTCCCTTCTCTCTCTCAAAAAATCAATAAAAAAGTATTAAAAAAAAAAGTATAGTCCGGTGAGGGCCTGGGACACATCGGCAATAATTGGTTCAAATCCCAGCTCTGCCACTTACTGGTTTTGTGGCCTTGTCAAATTACTTCCCTGAGCTTCAGTTTCTTCCTCTGTTGTATAAAGATAATACCTCTTAGGGCTATTGTGAGGATTAGCACAATGCCTGGCATGTAGTAAACACTTAATACATGATAGGCATATTAGTATGATTACTATTACTACCATCATCATCTCCTGAAATGTTCTTTTTTGAACTGAGGGAGGCAGGGGCCAGAAGACAGGATTATCTCCGACCAAGGGGTGGTCCCTGAGGTCCCTCCCTGGAAAAGGAGGTGGGTAAAGAAGACAGGTGCCTGAGAGGGCCACATGGGAGCATGTGGTGGGAGCGAGGCGTAGTCCTCCCCTTTGACCCAGCCTCTGAATCTTCAGTGTTTCCCACCATAGCATGGCATTTGGGTAATTGTTCTAGCTAGATCACTCATATCCCTAACACAGCCATAGCCATTGTCTGCTGGCACTTGGTTGGTACCCACCTGTATTCTATTTATTTCAAACTCACTGAGTTGCATGGCCTAGTGTGCCTTTTTCTGCAGCATTCCCTGGCCCAAGCTTGCCTGCTCACCTAGAATATTTATCAGATATAGATAGAGGTATACCACTTGCTCCCTGGGTTCAAAAGGAGGGGGAAGTTTCTTACCTCTTGCCTTATTTGCCTCCAGCCCAGCCCTAAAGTGGCTTATCTAAAGGTCTGAGAGGTGGGGCACCTAGCCCTACACAGCTTTCCAGTTCCTTTCGATTCCCTTGTTATAGCTTCCTCAGACGCTGTGGCAAGGAACTGTGCAGAGATCTTACAGAAGGGATTCTCATAACCATTTCTGGTGAGCAGCTGAAGACACAGGAGAGGTGGGTGGCACCTGAAATAGGTCTGTGGGCCCTTGGGCACTGCCTTTCCAGACACCCAGAAGAATTCCTAGGTTGGGAGTGAGTTGAGAGTTGGACACCATGATAGGGGCAGGGACAGAAAAGGAAGCACTTAAGGGAATGTGGTCAGAGGAAGGATGGGGAAGTAGAATCCTGGCCTCAGGAGGGAAGCAAAGGAGCCTGAGGGAAGGGAAAGAAATCTCAAAAAGAGGAGTTGCCGAGTGATTGATAGAAGGGGAGAGGGTAAGAAGGATCTGGAGGTAAGAGAGCCTGAAAGGCCTAATGTGGTGGGGACAAAGAGCTACTGCTGAACAGAAACGGGGAGGGAGCAGCTGTGTCAAACTGGACTGGGGATGAGCCTGTGGAGGGTCCCACAGAGCGGGGGACATAGAATGGTTACAGGGGCTACCTGTAGACCAGGAGAGGGTGAAGGGGAAAGTGGGTGGGGGAGATGCCCAGGTGGCATTTTGGAATTCATTTTATTTTACCAAGTGTAAGGAGACCCTTCAGAAGGTGACCAGAAACTGAGGAGAGAGACCTGGAGGGGGGCTGGCCAGGCTACCCAGCTCCAAGCCACTCTTGCACTCCACCCTCTTAACCCCCTCGTTAATCCCCACCCGAGGATATTTTTTCCATTGATTTTTAGAGTGGAAGGGAGGGAAGGGGGCGGGGAGAAAAAGAGAGAGGGAGGGAGGGAGGGAGGAAAGGTGAGACAGAGACATTGATTGGTTGCCTCCTGCATGTGCCCTGACCAGGGGCCGGGGATCAAACCTGCAACCCAGGTACGTGCCCTTGAAACCTGTCAGCATCAACGATGCTTCTGACTTCAGTAGAACCCGTGATCCTTCGGTGTGTGGGCCGACGCTCTAACTACTGAGCAACATGGGCTGGGAGCCTTTCTCTTTTGTTTCCTTTTGAAGTTTACTTGGGAAATGGTTGGTAGGGGTACCCATGCAACTGCTTTGCAGAAGACAGCAAGGGAGGGAGGCCCAGGAGTCAGAACCAAAGGAAGAAGTAATCATTTGGGGTTGGTAATGTGAGGCCTGGCAGCTATGCCCCTCATCCCTTCCTGGGTCCTCTGTTTATCAACACTGGTGAGAGTCTGGCTAGGGGATGGTGGGCCTGCCTTCCCATCTCTCAAGGTCCCTCTGGGCAAGGGGACAACTCTGCTCTGGGAGATACAGAAAACAGGTCTCACTTTCCATTTGGGACAATCACTATTCCATCCCTCCTCCAGAACGCTTCCATGAGGGGCAGAGGAGAATCAGCATTTGTGGTGATCACTCCTCTTTAGTGTGTAGTGACCACCTTACCTTCTAGAAACAGGGAAGGCAAATAATCCCAAGTCCTGGTTGTCCTAGAACCTTTGGATCTTCCTTGACCCCAAGCTGCCAAAGGTAGATTTAAAAACCTGAATATCTCCCAAACTGAAATTGGCTTTCTTTTCCCAGTTGGTCCAGGCACAATGCCCAGTATATTTGAGACCATCACAAGAGCTGTGGTCCATGAGTTGGATGCTGGAGGCGAGACGATTGCAGCCAGAAGCATCATTGATGCTGACAGGTTTCGTTGCTTCTGTCTGGTGACGGGGAAGAGAAGTTTGTTGGGACGCCGCCATTACTACAGTACAGGCCTCACCCTAGAGGACATACTGGAGAGAGAGGAGGATAAAGAGCAGTTTGAAAAATTGGATTCTGGACCCCAAGGTCAGTATGAGGTATATGAGAGATAACCAGCCAGGAGACTTTGCTCCCACCTACTCTACCCCACCCTCAACTCCCCATTGCCAACAACCAAGTCAACCAGTCAACAAAGAAACTGTGGAATTTGTATGAACATGTCCACACACCTCAGTTTAAGAAATACACAGAAGAGCTGCAGGGGAGATGGGAATGGGGGAAGTGGAAATTTGTTTTTCTTGGAAACTATTCCTAACTAGTCTTTTTCGCCCCCATTTTTTACGCCTGGTGGGCATGGTGTAAAATAATTTTTTTGTAAATAATTTTTTTAAAGCTTTTTAAAATAATTAATTAATTAATTAATTAAATATATCTTTATTGATTTCAGAGAAAGGAAAGGAAAGGAAGAGAGAGAGATAGGAACATCAATGATGAGAGAGTCATTGATCGAGCCCACAACCCCGGGCATGTGCCCTGACCAGGAATTGAACCCCGATCGCCTGGATCCTAGGTCGACGCTCAACCGCTGAGCCACGCCCGGCCAGGCTGTAAATAATTTTTTAAAAATATGTTTTTATTGATTTCAGAGAGAAGAAGGGAGAGGGAGAGAGATAGAAACATCAGTGATGAGAGTCATTGATCGGCTGCCTCCTGCACACCCCCTATTGCGGATTGAGGCGAGAACCTGGGCATGTGCCCTGACCGGGAATCAAACCATGGACTCCTGATTCATGGGTCAATGCTCAACCACTGAGGCATGCTGGCCGGGTATAAATAATTTCTTTTAAAATTAGCTGATGTCTTCCCATGTGTTTATATGTTTATCATTTAAGTGGATAAATAAATAGAGGTTGTTTGCTTAGCAGTTAAGAAAGGCTTTAGAGCTGGGGGCATCTGGTTTCTCAGCCTGGTTCTGCCACCTCCCAGCTGGGTGACCTCTGAACAAGTTTGTTTCTTCATCTGTCAACTCGAGCAGACTGTTGTAAGAATCAAATAAGATAAATTATGTAAATCATTTATCACGGTGCCTGCACAGAGGGAAAACTCAAAGTTCGCCCCAAGCGTCCTGCTGTGGCGGTTATTATTTCATCCCTTCGTGTTCCCTGGAGATCATGACTAAGTGGCTGGTGAGCAGAACTCCCCAAGGGCTTGAGGGGATTCATAGAGGAGTATGTTCCATCCCCTGCCTCACACATAGCTATTCTTGGGGCTTTTTGGATTTGGGAAGCCCCAGGGTAAGTGTTGTTGAACCCTCATTTGGAGACTTATATCAATGTCTCACACCTCATGGAGAGGAGTTTTACAGTTCAGACATCTCGGCTCCCACCCATTTGGGCCTCACCATGAGATGGGAGAGAATTCTAACAGTACCACTGTACAGTTTCAGAGCACCTGCCATGTGCTAGGCACTGCTGTTATGTGACTAAGAACGGTGTCCAGATTACTCAGAGGTGGCGGGTGTTTTCATATTGGAGTTTACTTAGGAAAATTTCAGATTAGCATTTTTCTAAGACTCTGAGTCAATTCTCTGAAAAGCAAATTGCCAAGAGCCAGCTTACTAAAAGCTAGTTCTCAATCAGTTTGCCAAATGACCTGTGCCCTGAAACCAGGACTTAGGATGTTTTGCCAAGATCATAAAAATTTGACTAAGTCAGTTTAACTTCCTTTAAGGGAAAGTCTCTCTGTTTGCATAAAACATTCAGAGGCAGAGGTGAAACCAAACTTTAAAAAAAATCCATAAGAATGAAGTGAATTGGTAATTTGAATTTTTAGCAACTTGACCTGCTCCCTTTTCAAATGGGTTATTTTTTTTTAACTACATGGTGCTGATGGTGTTGTTAAAGTGTGCCTAGGTTTTTTTGGTGTTTGCTTGTCCTTACTATCTAAAGTCCATACTTCACTGAGATTATCTTAATTTATCTAAAGTCCCTTTCCTGTTCCAGGGCCCCATCCAAGATATCACATTACATTTAGTCATCATATCTCCTTAGGCTCCTTTTGGCTGTGACAATTTCTTAGACTTTCCTTGTTTTTGACAGTTTTGTAGGATGCCTCTCTACTGAAATTTCTCTCTTGTCTTTTTCTCATGGTTAGACTGAAGTAATAATGGGTTTTGGGAAGGAGGACCATAGAGGTAAAGTGCTATTCTCATTACACAATATCAAGGGTACATACTATCAACATGATTCTCACTGTTGATGTTTATCTTGGTCACCTGTGACCTGCCATAGGCCGAGGAAATGTTCATCAAGTTTCTCCACTATAAAGTTAGTCTTTTATTCCCCTCTCCATGCTGTACTCTTTTTTTTTCCCCCCTCTCTAACATTTTTATTGATTTTTAGAGGGAGAAAAAGGGAGAGGGAGAGAGACAGAAACATGGATGTGAGAGTGAAACAGCAATTGGCTGCCTCCTGCATGTTCCCATCGGAGATCTCCCACTGGAGATCAAGCCTGAAACCTGGGCATGTGCCCTGACCAGGAATACAACTGGCAACCCTTTGGTATATGGGATGATGCCCAACCAACTGAGCCACACTGGCCAGGGTGCCATGCTATACTCTGTGTGCATAAGGTTTGATTTTCCTTTTCTCTCTGATAAAGTACATACAAACTTTTACACTGCTCAAGAGACAAATGGGTCCTGAGATGTTAGTGTCGCACATACAAGACTGATTCCAGGCACTATTTCCACTTCTGCCATGTCTCGCCAGTTCCAAAATGCATTTTCTCTGGAAATTCAGAGATCAGTGTGACCTTTACCCTTCTCTTTCCAGGTCAAAGGGCTGAGTTCAAAGCTGTGGATCAGGTAGACTCAACGGTGATGTCAGAAGTGAAATTGCCCAAAGACATTACAATTGAAGGGAGCTTTCAGGAGTCCCACGAGCATAACATTATGATTTTGGTGTCCAGGATACCCCAGAAATATCTGAATTCCCTCCAGAACAGGTGAGGTTGGAGGTAGGCAGCAGTGGGGAGAATGAAGAGAAGCCCATTTTGGGCACCAAGGGCACCTGGGGGGCGGGGCAGCCTCACTCCCCGTGCCCAGCACTCCTCCAACCCACTCCTTTCCTCACGCGTGCCACCTCCACCTCCAGGAAGTTGCCTCATTCTCCCAGGATCAGCCTTCAGGAAACCTTCTTCTGAAGCCCTCAATTCACTCACATCCCTGCTGCCCTCCAGGGTGACTGATTTCTCTGGCTTGAACCCTAACCTACTGGTTCCAAGAGATCACTCTCCTGTTTTCTTATACTGAGTGCCCAAATCTGTATTTTGTGCTTTTTTCACTCTGCTTTGTGGCAAGCCAGAGGTTTTCATGCCCCTCTCTTTCACTGGACTAGGAACAACTTGTGATCAGGGACTGACTTTACTAACCTCTCTGGGTTTATCCCCAGCATCCAGCAGGTTCTCAGTAAGAGAGCTGAAGAGAAGCAAGCACAGTAAAATTAAAGCACCTCTGTAGAACATTTCCTGCACAGAAAGTGCCACCACCCCACCCCAGTGCCACAGAGGTTCTTCCTCTGTGGAAGTACCTTGGTGATGTCCTTGAAGTCCCTCTGATAGCTAAGGTGCTTCCAAGGGACTTAAAGGACATCACCAGCCTTCCCCTCAGCAATTGTTTTTGTCGCTAGTGTTGATGTTTTCTTTCATAGCTGGAATTGTTGGAAACTGTGGAGCAGCTCAGGAAAGGGGGCCTCAGGGTTAGCCCTCCCTGAATGGGTGGATTTGTTTTTCCTTTTTAATTAGAAAATGAAAGGCTTATAGTGAAATTTTACTGGTCCTTTGACCAGTCCTTTGAACTACCTCTCCCCACCACAGTATTGTTGGGAAGGAGTCTTTGGAATTTTTCTAAGGGAGCTCAATTTTTTTCTAGAAGGCCTGTTGTTTCTTGGGTGAGGTTAAGTGGTTTGTGCATATAGAGTTGGGGGGCAGGGTACTAGACAGGTAGAGGAATGTCGGCAGAGGGAAGGATGTAGGTCTTCTGTAAGGGTCTTTGATTGCAAATACCAGAAGTTCCATTAGGCATTTAGTCACAAAATGAATTTCCTTATGGAATTGGAGATGCCTCCTGGAGCCCAAGGGTGGACAGTGTGTCCAGGCCCCAGAAACCAGTTTGAGGAGGTGGAGCCCTTTCTCAGAGAAGGGGATGTTGTGTGCTGGGTAGATGCCTATCTCGGTGTCATGGGAAAGGTGCACACTTTGGACTCATACAGAGCAGGGTTTGAATCCCAGCTCTGTACTTATTAGGTGTGTGACCTTGGACCATTCATAACCTGCCTCCGAGCCTCAATTTCCTCATGTGAAAATGGGTGCAATTCTGCCTGCATCATAGGGTTGTGGTGAGGGTGAAATGAAATGGCATGTGAAGGAGCTTGCAGTGCTGGCACATTCTCCCATAAATGCTAGTGAGCTCCCTTCCGACTTGCCTCCTCTTGCCCCCATGGTGGGTAAAGTGCACTTAATCACAAATAGGAACTGGCTGATTGAGAGCGACAAATGTCACTGAGAGGTGAGGCCCCTGAGATTCTGAACTTTCACCCCCTACACTCCCTCCAGGAAGCTGAAGAGTCAACTACCTCCTTTGTTTCTATCAATGCAGAGAAGGGGAGAAGACCTGTATCTGGTGACAGAAACTCTGGAGACAACAAAGGAGGAAACCCTGAAAAATAAACGACAGTTTACATTTTGGAACCAGCTGAACTTTCTCAGCCTCAAATATGAACGCAAGGTTGGGATCTTGGGGAACAGGGCCTGGGGGGAGAGCCAGCCTGGGCCCACCCACTGCCGGTGGAGGAATCCCAGCCCAGACTCCAGGCTCTTCAGCTCTTCCTCCAGGCCTCCCTGAGCAGGCTTGCTCAGGCCTTCTTAGGACTTCCTTCCTTGCCCAAGAAGATGTGTGTGCATCGCTAAGTTCTTCCCCTGGTACTCTCCAGTGATACCCTGTGCTCATCTGCTCCATAGGGCTTCCCGCGGTTCATCATTACATGGGGGTTTCTCTTATTCATTGTTTGCCCCCTGTTCTAAGAGGTAGGCGGGCAGGAGTCACAGCACCTGGAACAAAACAGGTCCTCAATGAACATTTGTTGAATGGACAGTGGAAACAGCATGCATTTTTAAGGTCAGATGTGTGTTCAGCCCTGACCAGTTTTGCTCAGTGGTTAGAGCGTTGGCCCTCGGGCTGAAGGGTCCAGATTTGATTCTGGCCAAGGGCATGTACCTTGGTTGCGGGCTCGATCCCCGGCCCCAGGTCCAGGTGTGTGCGGGAGGCAGCCAGTCAATGTGTCTCTCTCACATTGATGTTTCTTTCTGTTCTCCTCTCTCTCCCCCTTCCACTCTGAAAAGCAATGGAAAAAAATATCCTCAGGTGAGGATTGGGGGAAAAAAAGGTCAGATGTGGGTTCAAATTTCAGCTTTGCTACAGTTTTTAGCTGTGAAACTGGCTGACCTACTGACCCTCTCTGAGCCTCAGTTCTCTCATCTGTAAAATGGGCATAAAATCTCTACCTCCCAGGATTGTTTGGGAGGTCAGGCAAGATAACTATGTAAAGCACCTAGTAATCAATTAATGGGAGTTCCTTTTTCCTAGCACCACAGGACAGTGACTATCCCCCGAAAGACGGTCCTGGGCTATCGAATAAAGCAGCTCTTCTTCCCCAACATGGAAAGAATGAGTAAGCAAGGCCTGGTGGGGGCAGGGTAGGGGGAGCCTGACACACAAGTGGGGTGGGGGTTGATTCAGCCAGGCTCTGTGTCAGCCTGCAGGGGCCTTGGGCTTGAAGGTGCTCACCAGGAAGGAAGAGGGCGGGTTCAGAGCTGGGAAGAAGGACTAAGGCTCCTTGCTCAGGCACCACTGAACCAAGGATCTGCTCCATCATGACACTAATTCTTCTTTAGAGGCTTTAACTCCCATCTCTCTCCCAGTATTTCTTTATTTTTTTTGGTGAGGGGGAGGGCGTGAGGACTGGGGAGAGACTAGAAAGAGGAACTTAAAGAAAATTGGTCTTTCTGATAACTGTTCTCTCTTTCTCTCTCTTTTCGTGTTGGTTTAGATATTTGTTTCTCCGGGAAAACAAAATCCTTTCCAGAAGGTGAGTGAGCTTCTGGGCCTGTTCATCATTCCAGAATGGGCAAGGATGCTATTTTTAAAAAGAGGATAACAAATAACAAATGGCCTAGAAATATAGAGTTATTAAGACTAAGAATGTAATAGGATGCACCAGGGGTGGAGACTGTGGGGAAGGCAGGAGAAAAACGTGTCTGTTGGAGAAGCAGATTGGATTGCATGTTGGCCCAGCGTTTCCAGGCTCTGACAACTTTGACTTGCTTTGTGGGGGTCAGTGTGCTGGATCCCCGGGTCACAGCCCTTACTGAAGCCTTATTGGCCTACGAAGCATATTTGAATTACACGGTCAGTGCCCGTATGATAGCACTGGTTGTAAAAGGAGCACTGGATTAGGGAGTCAGATGGCCTTAGGGTCTAGTCCTGTCTCTCTCACTCATTAGCTCTATAACCTCTGGAGCCATGGTTATCCTGACTTTAAAATGAATGGGTTAGACTAGAAGATCCCTGTGATTCTGAATGTGGCTTCCTTTGGAATTTCAGAGTCTTTCCCTGGATCCCAGGAGAACTGTACTGCCTAATAGGCCTTGGGAAGGGGTAGTGAGGTCTAGGTGTGGTTGAAAATTCAAGAAACTCCCAGGAGTTGTAGAAGTTACAGGTTCAGTCCTCGCAAGGCCTTGCTAGCTCAAAAGGGTGAATCTCTGTCATTCTTAAGTGCTGTAACAGAGGAGTCAGGAGGTGGACTCCAGTTCCTGCTCTGACGCATAGTTGCTGAATACTGAAGGCATGCCGCACCCTCCTGGGCTGCTTTTTCAGTCATCTAGGCATAATCCTCTGGCTGCCTATCTCTGAGGATGTGGAAATGGGTCTGCAAATATAGTGCTTTGTCATTTATACACAATGATGAGGACACAGGCTCCCTGACATGGGCAGTGAGGGCTCAGAGTCCAGGAATGAAAACTTTCATCACCGGGGGAGAATGTCCACAGGGGGCTGGAAGTGACCTAAAGACTGAGACGACTTTTCCTTTCTTTGCAGAGGAAGGTGATGGTTCATCTTGTTTAGGTAAGGATGGGAGCCAGCTATGTTCAGGGTGGCTGCACCCCTTCACCCTTGAGCCCTCTGGCCTCAAGGACTGCTGTTTAGGTGAGGTAGCTGAGTATGTATGTGTGTGTGTATGTGTATGTGTGTGTGTGTGTGGGGAGGGCCCAAAGCATGTTTTGGCTTTAGTCTGGAGGTTGCATCTGTCTCCTCTAAACACAGTGGTTCCATTGGTTGTACATAGACATCACCTGGGGGAACATTAAAAGTAGTGATACCTGAGTCCCACCTCCAGAAATTCTGATTTAATTGATCTGGGGTATGGTCTGGGCATCAGGATTTTTAAAATCACTCCCCAGGTGATGCTCACATAGTCAAGGCTAAGAACCACTGCTCTAACTTCCTCTAAATCCTTACTACTCTTAGTGTGATCTAAAGACTGTACTTTGAATGGCAAGGACTCAATACGTTTTGATTTCCTGGAGGTGGAGAAGAATTTGGGGTTGGTACTAGACTGGGGATGAGCTAGGGAGATGGAAGTGGGGCCAGTGCGAAGCAGTGATGGTGGATGTCTGGGAAGAAGGATGCTTCATTTTAGCAGGAAGAGATTAGAAGAGGGGAAGATGCAGGAGTGGTCTCCAGAAGAAAAATAGACGAAGAACAGGGCCTTGGTATGGGAGCCTGTTGGGCTGGGTAGGTTGGGTTCTTAATTGCTGCCTCTGCAGGGAAGTCCTTGAGCTTGGTGGGTTTCAGAAACATGAAGGAGATGATGCAGGACACAGTGAGAGACCTCCAGGATCTGACTGAAAAGGAGCGAGAAGACATGCTAAGCTGCCTCACTAAGTGCCTCACTGAAGATAAGCAGCTGCTGCAGGATCTAGAAGGAAGGGTAAGAGGCCCAAGAAAGAACTGGGGCAGAGAGAGGGAGAATCCATAGTGGAGGGCCGTGGATACACTGCAGGCAACCTGCTCTAGCAGGACTAGTGCTCATCTCCCCGTCTCCTGATCCTAGGTGTCTGAGGTCCTGACCTCTGGTGAGCTGCAGATGGAGGGCCCAGGAGGTCATCTCATGAGTAGCCTTTTTAATGCTGCTGGGATCTTGGTCAAGGAACGTGGACAAGCCATTCTGGACTTCCTGGATGCCTTGAAGGGTGAGGAGGAGTCTGGATGGACGCTGGCGTGGAGGACATGCTGAGCCCAGGGGCCTATGGGGAACCAAATCTTGGGAGGAAGGTGGTACACCTTGCCTTTACCTTTGGTGAGGAATAAACCATCACATTTCAGAAACTAGCCATCTTCCCCAGGGCAGAGATTGAGGGACTGCCTCCTCTTCCCCTTTGGCACAGTCTGTGACCTGCCGTAGGCCAACAGGGAAGCAGGAGCCACAGCAGGAGCCCACTTGGAAATACTCCCATCTCCATCTCGTGCTGCCAGGAGTTCTCTGGAACTTCCTCTCATATTTGTCTTGGGTCTGATCAGACACTGAAGCCCTGTCCCACTATGTGCCTCTCCTCTCTGCCAACTGCCCTCTTTTTTTACCCTCAGAGCTGTCTGAGGAGAAGGAGCTTATAGCCGAGACCCTAAGGAAGGGGACCCTACCCCTGTTGAAGGACCAGGTAAGAGAGCCCAGGCTGAGGGCCAGGGTCTTAGTAGAAGTGAATGCCCATGCTCTCAAGGGACCCAGAAGTCTCAGGATTCTGTCCCTTCTGACTTCATAGTTCCTTGTCTGCTCATGTCTATCCAGCTGGTTTGTGGCAATTCCCTGGGCATATAGTTTCCAGGACAATTAGGAATGGGCAGGAGAGGGGGATATAAAACTGTTAGTCCCAGGATGGCAGTTGGCACCATCTCAAGTGCCAAAAGGGTTGGTTAGCAGTGTCTGTCACTGTGCTGGGAGAGTATCAGGCTCTCCAGGCTCCGCAGGAGAGGGCCACACTGGATGACTGTGTCTGCCTTGGGCTCAGGGTTAAGGAGTGTGGCCAAGTATTATCCATTGCTGGTATATTTCTATGTTTCTAGCTTTTACAGTCTGGTGAGTTTCCTTCCAGGTGGAGTCTATCCTGGTGCAGAACTGGGGTGAGGACCTTGATGTGGATTGTGACCCTGAGGCACAGATCTTCTGTGCCCTTTACGTTGCTGTCTCCATCCTGCTGCAGCTGAGTGAGAAGCCTGCCTCTGTGTCTTCCTGTTAGCTCTTTAACCATCATCCCCACAAACCTCTGGGTGCTACCCTCCCCGTCCATCCTCACCCCGCACCCCATCCCCCGAGTTGCTAGAATGAGGTCTTTAAAGCAAGCAGCTGGCTCTTCTTCAATTCATCCCATTCCCCATATGATCATGTACAAAACCAGCCTGCACTGTATGCATAGACTTCTGATTAAAAGTGGAAGATTGAGCATATTTATTTCCTCTCCTCGAAGCTTCACTAAATGACAGTAAAGCAATAGAAAAGACATAAACCCACAAGAATAAAGAGAGTGAGGTAGTAGGTAAGGGATTTCAACACATCTTTGGAAGCTAGAGAAACATTAAAGGAGTGCAAGCCAGGAGGTGTGGGACTGCGGGGTACAGCAGAGACGGCTGCTTTTCCATCATAAGCCTTTTAGTTCTATTTATATCTTTTAAGACAATGCAATTAAAAGTAAAAGACATATGCTTGTTATAAAGTATTTCAAATATTTCTCAAAGTCAAAGGTGAGCCTCTTTCCCCTCTAATATATAACCACTATTAACATTTTGGGGTATGTTAACATTTTTCCTGTGCAACAGTTTTTAAAATGGTAATTTAAACATGAAGCTAGGATGATGTAACATAAATTTGTTTTGTATCTTTTGAACTAGAGTTATTTTTCCTTTTAAGATTATAAAAATATTATATGAGACGGGAATTCTCATACATGCTGCTGGGAGCGTATATTGGTCAGCCACTTTGGAAGACTGACGGTATCTACTAAAGCTAAACATGCCTGTGACCCAGCAATTCCACTTCTAAGGCATGTATCCAAGAGAAATGAGTGCATGTATTTACCAAAAGACATGCACACACAAAAATGTTAACATAAGAGCCCCAAGCTGAAAACTCTTCACATGTCCAGTAACATTAGGATGGATACATATATTGTACATTTATACAATAAAAGAGAACAAATTACTGCTATACATAACAACATGGATGACTCTCACAGACATATGCTGAGCAAATGAAAGAACTTTTAAAAAAAAATTTATTGATTTTATAGAGAGAGGAAGGGAGAGAGAGAAACATAGATTTGTTGTTCCACTTATTTACACATCATTGGTTGCTTCTTGTATATGCCCTGAGGATTGAACCTGCAACCCTGACATATCAGGATGACACTCTAACCAACTGAGCTACCCGGCCAGGGCAAAACATTCAAAAAAGCATCTATCTACCTGCTGACAAAATAAAAGAGCTCAAGCCAAAATGTAAGTATAAGGAGACCCAGGAGATAAGTGAAGTATCAGAACACTAATAAAACTTTACCACAGGTAAAGGGGGTTGAGATTTGCAAATCCAAGCAAGCTGGCCAGTCTTGTGGATTGATGAGTCCAGAAGTCAAGGCCAAGGACCCACCCAAGCTGGGGAGTCTAATAAAAGGTGACTTTCTCCATATTAAAATGGAATCTCATTAAGGTAAGTGTGAATCATCAGTAAATCCACAGCTCTTGCCTCGCCTCCGGGCAACTATAGGGAAGACTTTTGGTATTGAGTAAAGAAGAGGTTTATAAAAAGGAAAGGACAAAAGTTCTGAAATATTGTGGCCATAGGCTAGTCCTTTCACAGAACTTAAATTTGAGTTTCAGAGCATCTCAAATTGCAAACTTAGTTTGTGAGGGAACAGGAGTGGCTGTGTACCTAGATACCTGTCAGAGCCAAACACAAATCTTCTCTGGAGAAAGTTATTTTCATTTCCAAAAAACTTTTAAAGGACAAGAGTGCTTCCCAGTAAAAAAACAACAAAGCATACAACGAAATGACACCATGAACAAGAAGCAGCAGAAACTACAAACAGCTCAGATGTAGATTCTCATGCATAAATGGGCACAATATTTGGGAGAAGTATCATTATAGATTAGTGGGGAAAGGCTAGACTTTTCAATAAATGGTCCAGGACAACTGGATAACCACATGGATAAAAAACAAAATTTGATTCTTACTACACAGCATATATAAAAATTCCAGGTTGATTTTAGATCTAAGTGTGAAAGGCAAAATTATAACTATAATAACATTAAAGACTTCTGTTCATCAAAAGATATAAAGAAGTGAAAAGACAAACCACAGAGTGGGAGAAAGTATTTAAAACATACATAACTTACAAAGCAATAGTACCCAGTATAGGGAGCTTGTATGAATCAATAAAATAAAAAAAATGACCCAGCCCAGCTGGGCATGGCTCAGCAGTGCCTACATTCTGCAAAATTTTCTAAGGAGAGAGGAAGAAAAGTCAACTCACAGCTGGCATCAACAGAAAGCAACAGGTGGCAATCTTGTGGTAGTCAGCACTGCTAAAAGAATGAAGAGACAAGCCACCAAATGGGAAAAATATCTGCAAAACACGTATCTGATAAAGAACATGTCTAAAATATACAAAGACTTCTTAGAGTTCAACAGTAAGAGAAAAAACAATCCAATAAAAGAAATGGACAAAAGGCTGAACACCTCACTGAAGAAGATACACAGATGACAAGCATGTGAAAAGATGCTTGGTGTTGGATGTCGTTAGGGAATTTAAAATGAAAACAACAATGAAATACCACTATATACTTATTAAAATGGCTAAAATCCCCAAACTGAAAATACCAAAAGCTGGTGAGGATGAGGAGCAACAAGAACACATTCACTGCTGATGGGAATGCAAAATGGTAAACCAACTGGGGAGACTGTCAGTTTCTTACAAAACTAAACGTAATCTTATCATAATCTAGCAATCATGTTCCTAGGTATTTATGCAATTAAGTTGAAAACTTATGTCTACACAAAAACCTTCACACAGCCCTGGCCGGTATGGCTCAGTGGTATAGCGTCAGCCTGAGCAACAAAGGGTCTTGGGTTCGATTCTCAGTCAAGGGCATGTACCTGGGTTGCAAGTTGATCCCAGGCCCTGGATGGGGAGAGTGGCACTTGTGGGAGGTGTCACACTAATGTTTCTCTCTTTCTCTCTCTCTCCCCCTCTCCCTTCCACTCTCTCTTAAAAAAAAAAAAATCAATGGAAAAAATATCCTTGGGTGAGGATTAGCAAAAACAAAAAAACAAAAAACCTTCATGCAAATGTTTACAACAGCTTTATTCATAATTACCAAAAACTGGAAGCAACCAAGATGTCCTTCATACATCCATACAATGAAATATTATTATTGTTGTTGTTGTTAATCCTCACTGGAGGATATTTTTCCCACTGATTCTGGAAGGGAGGGAGGAATAGGGGGAGAGAGAGGGAGAGAGAAACATTGATGTGAGAGAGACACATTAATTGGTTGCCTCCCCACATGCCCCGACTGGGGTTGGGGATTGAGCCTGCAACCCAGGTACGTGCCCTTGACTGGGAATCAAACCTGTGACCCTTTGGTGCACGGGTCGACACTCTAACCACTAAGCCACGCCATCCAGGGCACAATGAGATATTATTCAGCAATAAAAAATTATCAAGTCACAAAAAGACATGACAAAAAGACATGGAGGAACCTTAAATACATATTGGTAAGTGAAAGAAGCCAGTCTGAAAAATTTACATACTGTATGATTCCAAGTATATGACATTTTGGAAAAGGCAAAATTATAGAGACAGTAAGAAGATAGTGGTTTTCAGGGATTCTAGGGCAAGGGGGAGAGATGAACAGGTGAAGCACAGGGCATTTTTAGAGTGGTGAAGCTATTTTGTATGAAACTGTAATAATGGTGGACGCATGGCATTACACATTTGTCAAAACACATAGAACTGTATGACACAAAGAATGAACCTTAATGTAAACTATGAACTACAGTTAATACTGTATCAAGGTTAGTTCATTAATTGTACCAAATGTATCATATTAATGCAAGATGTTAATAATAGGGGAAACAGGAGAAATGAGGGTATGGGCTAGATTGAGTATATGGAACTCTGTAATATCTGTTCAATTATTCTATAAATATAAAACTGTACTAAAACACAAAGTCTATTAATTATGTAAAAAACTAAAAGCAAAGTCAGAAAAAGAACTTTTTGCTTCTAAATATGAAAGTGATATATATGCCTTTATATCATGTAAGAGCGATTTCAAGCAAATTAATATATGGAAAGTACAAAGTTTTTTATTGTATTATACTTTGCTACTCTTCTTGACCTTAATATAGTCTTAGGTACAGAGCAACAGATTCAGGTTGTAAACAAAACATATTTCATTAAAAATCATCCACTAATACACTTTCTTTTGTACACTGGAGATACTAGATTAAATGCCTTCTTAGAAATGCCATGTCAACTATCCTTTTGTATTTTTTTCAGTTTCTAAAATGTATGTTTTCCAATATTTTGGTCTCGTTGATCTTAGTGAAACTATGATGCTCTGGGATGTGTACAAATCTTATGTCCCCCACTTCCACAAGCAAGTAATAATGCTTTCGCCTCTAGTCTTCATACTGCAATTTTTGTTTGAAGTTTAAGGGCAAGCTTTTGCTCCATAGGTAAGGATGGAAGTGCAGATCTGACAAGTAACACCAGCATCAGGATTAAAAGTTCCAGGACTACAAACCACTGCAGAGGAAAACACATGGAGTAGATTATTATAATTTCAGTTAGAGGTATTTTATACCAATAATATAAATCTGCCTTTAATATCACAATATTTCTATACCTACGATATACTAAGTAGTGTTCAAATAATTAAGTTGTAGAGAATATTTATGAGTTTCAAACATTGTAATTTAATGATTTTAAAGGTAGGAGAAAGTCAGAATCCTATTTTTTCCATTAGTATCAGCATTTTACAATATCTTCTGCAGTGCCCCATTTATGAGTTCCTATTTCTAGTTTTCTAGTTCCTATTCCCAATTCTGTTTTCTAGGTAGGACCATTCTGGTTCTTTGGTGTGTTTTTTTTAATCCTCACCAGAGGGTATTTCTTCCATTGCTTTTCAGAGAAAGTGGATAGGAAAGAGAGAGAGAAACACTGATGTGAGAGAGACACATTGACTGGCTGCCTCCTGCACATGCCCCGACTGGGGCAGAGCCTGCAACTGAGGTACCTGCCCTTGGCCACAATCGAACCCAGGACCCTTCAGTCCAAGGGCTGACGCTCCAACCACTGAGTCAAACCAGTCAGGGCAGGGCCATTCTGTTTTCCTTCACAGTATAGTAGCTTAAGTCTGAACACTATAGAAATATAAGAGTACATTAGGAAGAATTAATATACATGAAGATAATTATATTTAGAAATTTTGTCTTTGAATTTTTACTTCCCTTTGGCTAAATATAACTTTTTTTGTAAGAAGATCACCATAAAGATTCAGTTCAATTATCCTAAGTGAATTATTCATTTATTCTTCTGACTACATACCCTAAATATTTAAATATTTACATATTTTTAAAAAATTTTATTGAATTTATTGGGGTGACATTGGTTAATAAAATTATATAGGTTTCGGGTGTACAATTCTATAATACATCATCTGTAGATATTTATATTTTATAATTACCGCAACAGGTAGCACAATTATCATGTAGACCTTCATTTTTCCCAAAGCCTGGACGACAGCTATCCATACGTGCCATTTGAAAACTGTGGTCTATAAAATGCATAGCTGGTAGAGATTTATTATAGTCATGGTAGAAAATATATGCTTGGCTCCGGAAAAATTCTGCTGTTCGATCTCTTGCCTAGATTTTAAAATACCAGTAAGAAGTACAATGACTAAATTGTGAAGCAATTTCTCCTGCATCAGAGATAATGAAACATAAGCACACTCATGCCATCCATGTTTTTACACAATTAGATGAATTCCTGAAAAGCTGTTTGTTAATACTAAAATTAGTCTAGCCTTGACCTTATCAGTTACTATCAATTCATATGTACAATGGTTAAGAAAAATTAAATTGAGGTTAATGAACTCTTGTTTTGAATTATTTGCAGCATGTATTCCATTTGTAGATGACAGTTATTATTTCTAATTCCAAAGAGCCAAGTAAAATGGAAAGTAAAAGTTTTCTCTAATCAGCACTACAAACTAATGATATAAATTTTCTTTTATTTTTTAGCATAGAGTTTAATAAGTCCTCATATAAACTCAGTGCTTCGCATAAGCCATGTACAATATAAAGGTTATGGGCTCAGAAACTAGACCAGGGGAGTGAAGGGATTTTTTTAGACTATGTCCTTAGCCACTGATGATAATTAGTGATGATAATCAGAGGAAGCAGCAACTATTATTATAATCATAGATACAGTTTTGAAAAAATCACTGGTTTAACCTAGGATGACCTGATTGTGAGGTTGTTCTTCAAGCTATTGCTTAGTTAACATTTGGGAAACAAAAACCAGGGATCCATCCTCTGTCATAGAAAAATATATAATATTAACCTGGGGAGCTATAAAATATTCCACATGTACTATTCCAAAACAAAGCATCTTGAAATAGCCAAGACTCTCACAATCTCAGTATAAACAGCCAAAATCAAAAGTCAATAATACTTTATATTTAAGTTTTTAAATAAAAGAATAATTTAAATCTACTTGCTTAAAATGTCTTTATTATTGATAAATACAACATGGAGAAACAGATTTTTTAAGTAGTTACAAAATTTTAAATAGCTTTATTGACTATTCAAATACTTTTCCCTTATAATGAAATTCTCACCTGGAGGACATTATGATTAGTGATATCTTCACAGCCAACAGAATCATTGCATGCTTTTGGTGCAAAAGGAGTAACTGGAGAGGAAAAAAATTGTATCTTCACTAAAGGATTCTAAAAAGTTCCAAACATTCCAAGAAAGCTCTAAATACTGAATTCAGTATGAATGGGTGCACATGTTTAATCTATCTAATCCTAGTAAGAAAGTTGCATAATTTGAATAATTTATACATTATGATTTTACTCCATCTGGGGGCTAATGGAAGTAACTACAAGACTTTAATAGAAATAAAACAAATAAAAATAAATTTGGTTTGGTTCCTCCCTTTTATTAAGTTCTCCAAATATAATTTAAAATTCTATTAAAAGCTATAGTAAATGTTAGCTGCATAGTTAAAGGCCATATTTATAAAATAATATTGACTTCTAAAAAACAAGCAACAGTATATCACAGTTGAAGGTAAACAATACGTTAATTTTGAAAGCTATAACCAGGCTAAGACCAACAATATACTTTAGTGCTTAACAAACACTTAAGGCCTACTATTTGTAAGACAGCTCACATTAATATGGTAATTACTTTTGTAACTCTGTCATGCTTCAAAATTAAATTCATAAAATTAAAGAAAAGTTAAATTTTTTTTTTTTTTACCTTGAAAGGCTATAAATAGCTCAGGTATGAGGCCATGATTTGGAAGTTTGACAAAATGGCATTTATACGATGGTTCTATGATACGGCATGACAAGTCAGAGATTAAATTATCCAAGATTTTCTTCAGCACTGTAAAAAGCAGTTCATTATATTTTCCTACACAAGATTTTGTGGTAAAACGTACAGCTATCTGATAGGAATAATCAGGTTCCCGATAGGCTTTAAAAAAGATAAGAATAAAAACAATTGTGCCTAGCATTAATTTTCTGTAACAATTTTCAAATAACATGTAACAGTAAATTCATCAGTCTTGCAAATCAGCATAGAAACTTATCGAATAAAAAGTTTTATCAGTTTGGTCTCATAAAACTATACAAAGCTAATAACTTTAAGGAAAAAAGTTATTTTCATCTGATATATTATTTACTCAGTACAAGTAAAGAAATGGCTTCTGTGGGGTGGCTTATATATATATTTAACAGTAGCAAGGAAAAAATAAGTTTGGGGGAAGGGTCTTCATTGGAAGAGTGTCGTCAGAACATTTCAATGAAAGGGATCATTAATTTGCTTTTATAGAATTAAACATCAGTTTTTAAAATACCTGTCAAAATTATGATAAAGTAGATTGCATACCTAAACAGTGGGAAGTGGGAGATTGAAGGGGGATTATTTAGGATATACTATCTTAACATTAATTTAAGAGTTTGCCTGGTCAAATACATCCAAAATACTTTGTAAGTTATAATGATTATATAGGGTGTCCCAAAGATGTATACACACACTTTGAATAATTATAAGGCAGTGTTTATGAAAATACATTTCATTTTCAAAATCGAGCTGTCAGCTATTAAGGTGTATATACATATTTTGGAAACATCCTGTATATAACTCATTTTCACTAAAGAAACCATACACTAAATTCTGATCCAAACCAAGTATATTAAAATGTGCCTATATTCTTACCAAACATCATAAAGTCATAGCTAAGCTTTACCATCTTTTCTTTTTGGGTTTGTGCGTTGACAATCTTATAAGAAAGAGTACATGTGTAAAGTCCAGATGAAGACTCCAGAAAATCTTTCACCAGCAGCTTTCCTGTTTCTGTTATATTTATTCGATAATTTCCTAAACAGAAATAGTAAATTACTTGGTTATTTAATATATAACAATTCAAACATTATTTAGTAAACTTAGGGTTACCAATAAATACAAAAATTTAAAAATTAATGGACTATTTTAAGAATTCAACAAAATCTTAATTCTGTCATATTATTCTATGGAGAACCACATGAGATAAGTACACCTTTGAAATAGGTTTTGGTTTTCTTTCATTCATTTCTTTTTTTCTTTTTTTTTGATCCTCACCCAAGGATATTTTTTCCATTGATTTTTTTTTTTTAGAGAGGGTGGAAGGGAGGGAGGGGGGAGAGACGGAGAGAAACATCAAGGTCAGAGAGACATATCAATTGGTTGCCTTCCACTCCCTCCCCAACCAGAGTGGGGGTCAAACCTGCAACAGAGGTATGTGCCCTTGACCAGAAATTGAACCTGAGACCCTTCGGTCTGCCGCCAATGCTCTAACCACTCAGCCAAACCAGCCAGGGTTTTAATTCATTTCTTGGCATCTAATTTCAATTGGTTTATGCCAGTAACTCAGTAAATAAAATTACACGGCCCTGTAATACTATACAATTTCTTCACATAAGACAGAAATTAATGTTTATAATCCAAAGTACTCTTCTAATATCATGAAAATTACATATTAGATACTTCATCTCCTTTTACAGGTGCTATAAGGATAAATTTTAGGTTTTATAAAATTTTTTGAACCAATACAGCTCTGGGGAGTGGGATGCAAAATTACTGCTTCAGTTTTTTTATAAGGAGAAAATAAGGCACAGACCAAGGTATATGATTTGTCTAAGTATGGAACAAGTGAAACTGAAATTAAAATTAAACATCAATTTGTTCATCCCAATAAGTGACAGTGCTTCTCTAAAAAATGTTCACATCATTAAAAAAGAAGGTATTAAAATCAAGTAATTTACCTGTTAATATCTTTTCATCAGGCCCAATCCAAAAGTAGGTGGGGTCCACTGTTTCTTTATTAGCAAGTTGTATATCCATACAGACAAGGAATGGGCTATTGTGGTGTAATTCTACATATATCTTCACTGTGACAAGATAAAATAACATATAACATTATATAGCAAAATTAATAAATGCACTACCTACCGTTTTGTCCCAAAGATACTCTGATTAGTTCTTTTCAGATTTCACTACCTATATTTTAAAAATCAGCATATCATTCATTATAACATTTAGAATGCTAAAGCCCTTTTTGTTTCTCATAGTCTTTAAAACTCTAGATTACTAGTCAATAATTTTCTCTTTCTGTGACATAGTTTGGCTTATAAAAATGTACACGATACAATGTGCAATGTACAAATTCAGAACTCGCTGCAATCATAATTTTTTGAAGGGTTAATGGAATCCATTTAAAGGTCAGAAAAGGGCTTGGGTTTGGTTTCGAAACTATTTTAAAGATGATCATTGTCACCTCTAAGGTAAACTTAATATTTAAGTATAAATGTCGTCTGTTGGGAACAATAATTAAGCCTATATGGAGCATACTAAGTCGATTTTCTGCAATTACCAATTCTGTTTCAGATTCGGTGGCAGCAGCAACAATCTGCTTGGAACCAATGTGGCCCAAGATACTAATTTCAAAGCCTATTGAATGCCAGGTTCCGAACACAGAAAGACGACACCCTCCTACAATTTCTTGGTGGCGGGGAGGGGCAGGGCTCCAAACCTTGAGAGATTCCAAACATGACCAAAGCTATGAACCGGCCCAAAGTGTCTAAAGTTAGCCATGTGACTAATTTTCCATGGGCTGTGTGGGAAAGTTTCATCACAGTGACAAAGGGCATAAAGAACCTTAAAAGATGTGTAGCAGTTCTTCTAGATAATAAGAGGAGAGACAAGGGCGCTCCAAAGAGATTAACTTCCAGTCCTGGAAATTACTCCTCTGAGTGGGCCTGGTACGATGCAAAGCAGCAGAGACACCTGGAAGTGAGGCGGCGTCAGAGAGAGAGATCTGGATGGAATCCTAGTTCCTTATCCTTATGAGCTGTGGGGCTTTAGGCAAGGTGATACAACTAAGGCGCTGCAGGGTCGATGGCGGGCGGTCAACAAGCATTCGCTGCCTTTCCCTCTACGGGAACAACTTGAGCAGGTCCACGGCACCCCGGCTCTTCTGATGGGCGGTGCAGGCCACGAGGTCCTTATTACCTGTGTGTCCTGGCTTGCCATACACGAAGCCTTTCTCGGTGAATTCAGAAAAACGCTGCCATCCAACTGCAGAGGAAAGAAACCACTGACATTTTAGGTAAAAGAGGAGCCAGGGCCTCAGAGTGGGGCAGGGCGGGGCGAAGCGCCGGAGGTAGGACCTGCGAGACGGGAGAGTCCTGTAGGCCCGACGGGAGGATACCCACCTCCCACGAGGTGCCAGAGCACCGCGCAGACTAAGACCCACGCTCGCATTGCCGCTCAGGGGCTGGCGTCGCGGGAGGCGTCGAGGAGTCGGCTCCTTCCTACCTCGGCCCCGCCCAACGCCTCCCGGTCTCTCCAGCTCAGAGCTGAGCAAACGGCCGCGGTCACGCCCAGGGGCGGGGCGAGCGGGCTCAGG